AAGGTACTCAAGTATTTTCTAGTGGACTTTAAAAGTTATCGGATATACTGCTAAAACTGCACCAATGATTCTGGTAGAAATTTGAAAGAGCAGACCACTATCTACATAGAGACTACTTTAGATTTAATTATATAATATCAATACACCATTTGTGAATATGGAAAATAAAATCTTTGAAAACTACAAGCTGAATGTTTCAGATTATTCAACAAAGAAATTCATTTATAATAGTGCAAAACATTCCAGTGGTCAAATATCTTTAATAGAATGTAAATAATAACAAAACTGTCACCTTCTTTTTGTACTTGACACCACATAAAATCACATAAATATGAATATAAGTGGTGCCATGCATTTCTGCGATATCTTTCATCACCACATTTTGATGAATTCTGCAGTCATTTACTGTTAAGAGTATGTTCATGTATTATAATCTGTCCCACTAATCTAAAATTTCTTGCTTTCTGTATAAGGCGGGCCCCAAATTTTAATCTTTTCGTTCAAAAAACAAGGCAAAAGCAGAGAAAGAGCAGTTAATGTATAACTTCTTTACAAAACCTAGTCTATCTTACTCAAGATCAGAATTTCATAAAATCAAAGTGGAATTCTTATTACCGCTACTAGTAAAAGGAAACCAATACATTCTGCCAATACAGTCAAAAGTCGTTAATCCGGACTCGTTGGGACTTCGGGGATTCCAGATTATCGATTTTTCTGGATTATAGATCATCAGTTTAAATCTGGTAAGATGGCATGCAGAAATTACAAAATTAAAAATATGAAACCGTAATTTATGAAATAAAGAACAATTATGATGTAAAGGGTATCAAAATTTACAAAAAGAAAAAGCTTAATATTTATTTGTTTACTTTATTAAACATTTCTTTCAATGCAAGTTGTTTAAGTTGCTTCGTCATGTGATAATACTTTCTCTTTATTCTGTTAAACAGACATAATTGTTTAGTTACAAAGTTCCGCTGTTCAAGTCCTATAATTGCTGTGTCGAGAATACCAAACTAATTTGTCAATCGAAATTTTTTTGTTTTCAATAACCTCTGTCACTTTCTTCACTATCGAAGCAAATTATAATGACGAGGAACTTGTTTTAAATCATATCAAAGACGGAGCACATCGAGATGAAATATTACATTTGGTAAGGAATTATAAGCCAAATAAAATAAAAACATCTGCCCTGAAGATAAGGATAGTGCTGACAGATCAACTTCCAATTCATTGCGCGCCACGGCGTCCCCCCCCCCGAGCAGCGTGAAATTTATAAACAGATTTCGAATTTCGAAACATACTTTCGCTTTAGATCCTTTACATATTAACAAATATATATCGAACATTTTATTTGATATAATCGAAAGTTTAAGCTTACTTTTATAAAATTGCTCTAACAGTCTGCAAAAAGTAATAAGCCGGATCCAATTCGAAAATTAAGGAACAACACAATCTGCAACATTAACTGAATTAGATAATTTTAGCCTAGCTTACACTGTCCTTTATACATTAAACGTGCATGCGTAAACATTTTATGAGCATGCGCACAAGCATATTAGCAGCCGTAAAGGTCTTATGCGCATGCAAACGCCTATGCGCATGTGTCAATGGGACGCATGGGCAGAAAGTTTGTAGCTTTGAGGTCCGGATTATGGGTGTCCGAATTAACAACTTTTGACTGTATTGAACTAAAGTTAAAGCAACTCTACCTACTTTCATGGGTCATGGTATTGGAAAACAATGCTGTGACTTTTTGCATTGACATCACATTTCACATATGTTAAAAGAACCAAGATAAACTGTTAGGGGGGGCAGAGTTTTTTTTAAATTTTTTTTAATGTAGTTTTCATTTTTACAAGAACTTAATTTATGCAGCTTAGAGAGTATAGTGCTTCCAACAAATAAGTCAGATCTTATAAGACTCTTGTAAAGAAGCAATTTAGTTCTTAATTTGAGAAAGTTGGACTTTAAATAGCACTTCAGGACATGAAAACATCCATTTGCACTAGAGATTATTTTAAGTATTTCAGCAGTTCTCATTTTTACAATTCATCTACACTTCCAGATAAGTGAAACTAAAGATCTTTTTCAAATCTACAGCGACTAATTTCTAAATGACTAAGTGGTAAGCAAGATTTTAAACAAGGCACATATTTAGCTTTAGTTTTGCTAACAGGTTAAATCTTTTTGCACTTTTTTCCAATGCCATGAATGCCTGTTTAAAAGCAGGAACAGTATGGTTAACAATACAAATATTACCTGCATAAGCCAGTAATTGAATAGTCTCATTAAAAATATTTCCTCTAGCAATAATCCTAGAATCTCTAATAACTTTTTCAAGTGCAATGCTAAACAAGAGGCATGCCAATGCATCCCCGTCTTACTCCATTCTTGACCTCAGTTTGTTCTGTAAGGTCACCACGTACATGAATTTGTAGCTTGGTTTCCTTAAGAGTCAAAACCACCAATGCAACAAATTTTTCTGGAATTTTTAGTTCATACACGGCCTTAACGAGAAATTTTTTATTAATGCAATCATACACAGTTCTGAAATCGATATAGTATGATTTTAAATAAAAAGATACCGACAGCAAAGCCAGTAACAAAGAGGTCGTCAGAATGAAAAGATTTTGATTGATAGTTTAGTGGAAATTCACTACAAGGCAGTTTCCAGACTTAAATAATGGAACTTTATAGCTGAATAAGAAACTATGCCTATTGCAGAGAAAGTATTAGCACACACAAAAAAGAAAGATATAACTTACAACGAAAGAAATATTTTATAAAACAATGAAATACATATTGAACTTTTTTGTAAATTTGATTGCATGGCCATATAAGCTTCATTACCATAAAAAATATTTTACATTTTTAAACATATAATCTCTACATGCCACCTCAGTATATTTGAACAGATGGTTCAGAATCCTGAAATTTCCAAAATCCCCAACAGCAGAAGTTTCAATGGTTCTGGATCTTGGATTCTATACAGTAAATATAGATGCATATACACGTGCATTCTATTTTATCTGATATAGACTCTATAACAAAAAAAAAAAAAAAAAAAAAAAATCGACGAAGAAGAAGGAATCAACCAACAGCTTTGAAATTCTGTATGTATAGATGTTTTGACCAAATATACAAATGATTAAAGTTTGGTGTCCAATGTAAGAATAGTGCAAATTCTAAAGCACTGGAACTCCGAATCCAGCACATGTATATAAGGAGCTGTTCTTGAATTGTTGCTAAAAATTTGTTGCATTGCAATTTGGGATTCCTTACAATGACCTGAAAAATGCCTCGGTACAGAATTCAAGCTCATTACCAGCAACAGTCAGAGTTTGAAAGAGGTCGTATCATTGGATTGAAAGAGACAGGTTTGGCAAACCGGAGGATCACCTGTCATATGAGTTGAAGCGATGCAACGATTAGAAGATGCTGGCAAAAATAAGTGGACAATGGCAGATTTCAGCGTCATCATGGTAGAGGTTGACCAAGGGCCACAACAGATCGACAGGACAGAGTGATTTTTAAATCAACTATCACAGCGCCTCATTCATCGCTATCAATCATCTGATGTGTGACCCACACGCGAGTGTCCAGCATGACTATTCACAGACGGCTGCTAGAACGAAATCTACGCTTGTACCGGCCGTTAGGTCACCTGCCAATCATGCCTGAATACAGTTGAGCCAGATTACAGTGATGCTTGGCTCGACCAGGTTGGAATGATGCTGAGTGGGGACATATAGTCTTTAGTGACGAATCCCACTTCCAACTGTGCCATGAGGATCAATGAAGACGTGTGTGGAAACATCCAGAGCACCGTGCTGATCCTGCTTTCACTATTGCACACCACACAGGCCCTCAATCAGATGGTCTGAGGTGCCATTTCCCTTGATAGCCAGATCCATCTGGTCATCAGTTGAGGCACACTTGCAGCACAATGGTACATCAAAAACATTCTGAGACCTGTTTTGCTGCCACTCATTTGCAGTACCCTGGCCTTATTTTTCAGCAAGATAATGCCAGACCACACACGGCACATGATGATACAAACTGTCTCACAACTTCTCAAACCCTTCCTTGACCAACCAGATCTCTCTCCCATCGAGCATGTCTGGGATATTATGGGAAGGCGACTGCATCTACCAGGGAATGTTGATGACCTAGCCCAACAAGGAGTAAATTTGGCAAGAAATACCGCAGGAGACCATCTGGGAGCTTTATTAGTCTATGCCACACCATGTGGCAGCTTGCATCCAGGCTAAAGAAGGGTCAACACTTTATTGAGATCGTTACTTTGTAACTATGTAACTCTGAAATAAATCATTCAATTGTTCTGAAATTTTAACCAATTTCTATTCTATACATAATCTTTCCATCCCCCAATTTTTGTCTCCATTGGACAACTCCTTCTTGGTGCACGTGTTTTTGTTATAGAGTGTACTTTGTATTCTTTTTTGGGAGATATTACTTAAACTGAGGTCCAGTTCCACAGAGGCAGGATGGATGCTTACTGTACTGCAAGACATTAAATATGGAACCAGACCTCTAAACGTGTCAACTAATCAACAAGATATCTGAAAGTTATAGTGCAGGCATACTTTTCTCATTGTAAAATTTTAATGGTTCATATTCTTTCAATCCTAAAACTGGGATTAAAAATTGTGTCTATGAAACTATGTGTACTTTCTTTAATGTTAAATAAATTTGTCTAAATTAATCTTAAGTGCTTTTCAAAATTCCTTCATATTTTATTTCTATAAGCAGGTCTTAATTAAAATTGATCACCAATATAAAAATCATTATAAAAGCTAGAGGGGAGTAAAGTACTTTATGAACAAACGAGAGAATCAATTTATAATGGCGTAATTAAAAGAAAATCTCTTTGAAACACATTGCTCAGTATATTACAACAGGAGAAATTAGATTTACTCCAGTTTATATGTAAAATGATATCTATTAAATACATAAAAATAAAGTGCAATTCATACCTTGTCTGTATATCATTCCACCATGCATAATACGAGCAACAATACATCTCCCTTTGTCATCAAGCTTCAGGGTAATGCCCTGTGAAAATAAGAGCTGTCAGTTTGTTATACCTTTTTCATATAAAAATCATACCTTACAGTGCAGAAAACAATAAAGTGTCATTTGAATGACATATATATGAGTTAGCAAGCTGTCACATGCTCAAAGTATGTAGAATATAGCTAGCAGCATTAAGTTTAAAACATTGAATAATAAAATAAAAAAATAACCCTTACACTCCTACAAGAAGTTCATAGTAGGCTATACCTACTGTTAAATTTTGAAGAAATCTGCATTAAAAGAAGCTGTTATAGGGATGTAAAATTCATTGAAACAATTTTAACGGTTTGCCAAACAGTGCTGAAAGGAAAAATTATCGAAACAAACATCACAGGTAATTAGTTCAACCGGTTGCAAATAATACCGAAAGTTGTTCATTATTAATCATTCACAGGTGTTTTCCTCATTTGTTATGCCGAAACTTTGTGAAATGATAAACTGCATTAAAATATCAATATGAGGAATATGACAGGCTGCTTAATGAGAATACCCGCAAAAAGAACCATACACAACGCCAAAAAGTGGGGAGAAAAAGAGCTGCAATGCAGACACTATAATGTTAGATCAAGCAGTAAATCTTGCTTTGAATTATACCATTAAAAGATTCGATACAAAAATTACAAATATTGCATTTTAACGAAAGTTTCCTGCCACCACAAATATCGCCTGCGCAAACAGTTCACGTTGGCATGTTTAATCATATTTTGTTAAACAATGTTTTACATTTGAACAAAACAGACTTGCTTTAGAACACAGTGCCGTGAAATTTGTAAACAAAAATATCCTTATTACTGCATACAAGGTATCTGAAATGGAATTATCATGCTACCAGATTAGAACAATCATTTACCTCCAGTTCTTTTGCGAAAAGTCAGCTACAGAATGTTACCAAATCATGTGTACAGCTTTAGGTATTGACGTTCTATCATATGACACTGTGAAGGTTTGGTACTGAAAGTTCAAAAACAAGGACTATGACATTCAAGAAACAGCGCTCTGGCCAGCCACGTTGATAAGGCCCACCTGCGAGAATTTGTAGAAGAAGATCAGTATGCAACCATTCAAGAGCTTGCTAATGAGTTAGACATCAGTGCCATCTCCATTACTCGTGCTATGCATCGCTGGGTACCGCATGAGCTGATTCAAGCAGATAAGGACAGGCATGTTCGGGCCTGCACTAATCTGCTCGAATATTAACACAAGGTCAAAATTCTGGACCAGATCATCACTTGTGATGAAAAGGGGATTTACTTCACAGGCCAAAAAAGGGGGTTGGTCTGCACTAAGGTGAGCCCATCAGCAGCGTTGCAAAGTGCAATATAACATAAATATCATGCTTTGTATATGGTGGAAATGCTGCGGTATTACCCACGAAGAGTATCTGAAAAAAGGTAAAACCATTGCCAGTTAAAAGGTGTACAGTGAGATGCTAGTCCATGTTGATGCTGCTTTCAAGGAAAAATGTTGAACTGAGGAAAAATGTTCAAGGAAAAATGTTGTTCGGCACAAAAAGGGAATGTTCCATCAAGATAATGCAAGACAAGATGTGTCTGCATTCACTGGCTGGACTCAAATGGGATCTTTTGCCATACCCACCATATAGTTCCAACATCTCTCCTTTAGCCTTCTACCTTTTTTCACACCTGCAGCTACATCTTGCTGGTGCTATCTTCCATTCTGCACAGGATGTCCAAATTGAGGTTGATTCAAAATGAGGACGCCCAAAATAAGGTTTTTGGACACATGGCCACCAAGTTTTTGGGCCAAAGGCTTTGAATTACTATCGAAACATTGGCAGAAAATCATAGATTTGGGTGGTGATTACTACCCGCACTAAAGATACTGCTTTTATGCATTTTAACTTTATTGAGTATGTTTTTGGGGGAAAACTTATGTTACAACCAGATATAATTTATGTATAACAAGTTTTACACTTGTATCCACTTTTTCACTAATGTATACAATTATATGAAAAAGCTATGGGTGTAAATAGGAAACATCATAATGTGGCAAGTGCATTTGTGATATTTATATAATGCCAGATATGGAAAACACTATTTACAAGCACTCCATAATCAAATGGTTAAATAATTTGAGTATATGCATGTGGATTTGAAGACAATAAATATCTATTTGATCATGAATGATATACATATCCTCAGAATAATTTATGCTACCAGGAAACAATAGCATGTTACTTAAAAGCCCTCTGAGGGATGTTATGTTCTTTCAATTTTACTACCAGGTTACAAACTTATAGACTATAGCTCGAGTTTTATTCGGTAAATAAATACATATTTCTAATTATTGCAAATCAAAGATAATTGAAACTGTAGTTAATAAACAACCATTTTCATTTATCAGAAAGCACAGCAGAACATAAATAACACAAGAAATACAGTTAAAATAAATTTTAGCACTTTTTAAAAATATATTATTCCCATTCAAGTAAACTCTAGAACACAGTTCTCAGTTGATTCAGTGGATTAAAAAACCATCTCCACTAACAGAAGAGTATAGCAAAAGCAGCAGCATGCTCAAGATCTGCACAGCAATAAGCAAATCCCAAGTAACAGTTTCTCAATGTAACTGCTTGATGAAATAACTGTACGGAAAGATTGTTAATTTTGTAGGAAATTATGTATCACCGAGAATTGTGATTTGTGATTTTTTTTTTAAACAAAACATAAGATAAATGTGTAAATCTTATAAATTAAAATCCGTAAATCTAACTTCCTGATTATACACAGCACCACCAAAAATTCAGAAAAGAGAATTTAAGGGACAACCTAGGTATGCATGCAGCAAATGATATGCAGCTTGAGAGCATGTGAATTTGATCATCTGAATTTCAGTGGTCATTTCTCAGATTAATATTTCTTTTTTCAAAACAAATTGTAACAAAATGGTAGAATATGACAGCCAATGAAAAAGAAAGCACTGCATTTTTTTCAGAAATATGCCATTTTCCCAGGAAGAGAAAATGCAAACATTTATATTTTATGAAGTCGTACTTCTTAAACCATGAATTTTATCGAAATCCAATGTGAAAAATTACCAGCAAAGTGTGTGCGAGACGGAAACGGGTTTGAAGATAGTTATTTCTCATTTATAACAGTTGTTCGCTTAATTTGTTGTTGGACAAAGGATATTCTATGAAGAACTGGGACTATCTTTAAATATTTCTACCAAATGGTGTAATTACCTCACAGAAGTGTGTGCCTATCCTCTATATGAAAAAAAGAATGTAAAAAAATAGGTAGCAATGGATGCATGATTGAAATAGACATAAGGATACCCCAACTAACATTTCTTTCTGAAGTTGGCAATAAATTTGCAAAGGCTTTCTAAAGTCTACAGTGAATTTATAACATTTTGGTCGGGGATGCAGATAATTAGAAAGAACAGAAATTTATCTACCAGCATTAATGAACCTTACTTCTGAGATATGTACGATAAAAATGAGCAGAAAATTATTCTTTAGCTGTATGGGGGGGATATAAAAAATCCTGCAAACCAAAGCCCAATGCACCCTATCTGGGCCTACTGTGCTACGAATTTTTAAAACAGTATTTTCAGCACTTTTACACACATGTATATAAACAAATGAAAAAAGAAAAATTCTCCAAAGAAGGAGACCCCCCCAAAAAAATTGCAAACCATTAAAGTAATTTTCAGGTTCTACTATGGGTATTCATAATGAATATAAAGAAAATGCAAAGACTCTTTAGTACCTGAATATTAGTGCAACCACCTTAGCAGAAGTCATCAAGCTCTGGCAATCATGCACATAAATATCAGCTTGAATAAACAGTATCACCATTTTCATATATGCTCCAGTCGTTTTACAAGTTCTAAAGGTAAATTACGATATTTTTTGCTTTAAACTGAATTTTAAAACATGTGCTTATGAGATTTGCCTGCAAATGAAGAAAATGTTGTAAAATATTTAGAGGATTACAATACTTTGCCAGAAAACTGCTAAATGTTGAAATTCTCATTTGATGCCACAGCTTTTCGGAAAACAATCATTTTAGAAATAAAATGTGAAAAATTGCAATGAACATGTTCAGATTTGAATCAGAATTGGTTTCAACCAGAACCATCTGCCTTTCACTACAGAAGTCAGACTTGCATATTGGTGGGGTAAACAATTAACCTCTATTAAATACAGCTACTAAGAGTTAGAAATGAATGACAAGACTGTGATAGACCATAATAATTATATATAAGCAACCTGCATTCTTGATATAAAGGTTAAAACAAATTGAATGATAGAAAAGCTCCAATCATTGCAATAGATGAAAGTCTGTTTACAAAGCGAAAACACAATGCTGGATGTTTTCATTGCTGCAATGGATTGAGGGAGAAATTTACTACATCAAATGAAAATTTCTTGGTTACAGTTCCCACCAGAAGTGCAGCAAGAATAATGATGAAAATAATTGAAAACATCAAGCAAGGAAGTGCTATCTATTCTGACTGTTGGTCTTGTTATAAAACTGAAAATTTGGATTTATGCATAAAATGGCTTATCATATGTACAACTTTGTTGATCCGGAACTAGCATACACACATATTCATATAAAAAGAATGTAGAGATCTACCAAAATGGGATAATAGAAGAAGAAGAAGAAGAAGAAGAAGAAGAAGAAGGCAGCCCACCACCTCACAGAATTGTATTTAGCAGAATTTATATGCCACCAAGAGCAAGCTGCTAATGAAACCTCCTCAACTAGAAGAAGCCAAATGTATTCTTAAAGTGCACTATGAAATTTCCAGCAGCACAAAAGAAATAAAAACCTGTTTGTAAGTAGTTTCATTAATTGCTTTTGAGGATGAATTCCTAAACAAATTTAAAACATGTATGTATGAAAGGAATAATTTTTTGTGAGTCATCATTTTTTTCCTACTGTAAAAATTTGCCAAGCTGCATCAAGGTGGTTGTGCTACTAGGTTAAGTAACCAGATTTAATAGC